CCCCAAAACCCCAAAACCCCAAAACCCCAAAACCCCAAAACCCCAAAACCCCATATATGATATCCTGTTTTGAGCTAATCTAAATATTTATTTCTCGAAAATCTTATCTATGGAAGAATCCAAAGACACTATCTACAATTTCTCAGCAGGACCATGCTGCCTCCCCAAAGAAGTCCTGAAGAAGGCTCAAGACGAACTACTCAACTGGCACGACACTGGAGTCAGTGTAATGGAGATGTCCCACAGATCTAAAGCATTCAAGGATATTGTTGCTAAGACAGAAAAAGATCTGAGAGAATTGATGAAAATCCCTGACAATTATCAGATCCTCCTCCTTCAAGGTGGAGCCTCCACTCAGTTCTCCTCGATTCCATTCAATCTTCTTGATGATAACAAGAAGATGAACTATCTTGTGACTGGAAGTTGGGGAAAGAATGCCTTCAAAGATGCCAAGAAGCATGGTGAAGTTACTGAAGTAATCAAGCCTCTCGAGGCTTACACTGGGTGCCCGGACTTTTCTGAGTGGACTGTTGACCCAGATGCAAAATACTTCCACTTCTGTGATAATGAAACCATTTATGGAGTCGAGTTCAACAATTTCCCATACGAAGAGTTGAAAGATCAACTTCTTGTCTGCGATATGAGCTCAAACTTCTGCTCTAGACCAATCGACTGGGAGAAATATGGACTTGTCTATGCAGGAGCCCAAAAGAATGTCGGGCCTGCAGGAGTCTGTATCGTTATTGTAAGAGATGACCTCCTCGGAAAGCAACTAGATAGCACTCCTGATGTCCTCAATTACAAAAAACATGCTGATTCACCAGGACACTGCTACAACACTCCTTGCTGTTGGTCAATCTATATGGCTGGTTTAAATATTACATACATGCTTGAGAAGGGACTAGACAAAATTGAAGAAGAAGCAAAGCTCAAGAGCAGCATGCTTTATGACTACATTGACTCCAGCGATGACTACTACACTAACCCAGTTGATAAGATTTTCAGAAGTAGGATGAATATCCCATTCAGAGTCAAGAAAGATGATGAACTCGAAGCTAAGTTCCTATCCGAAGCTGCAAAGGAAGGCCTTATCGAACTCAAGGGCCACAGAACTGTTGGTGGCATCAGAGCATCAATTTATAATGCTATGCCAGTTGAAGGTGTTCAGAAACTGCTTGACTTCATGAAGAAGTTCAGAGAGGAGAATCCATAATGAAATCTTTTAAGATGTACTCCCAATTTAACATTACTACTAAGGGGTTTTGGGGTTTTGGGGTTTTGGGGTTTTGGGGTTTTGGGGTTTTGGGG